CCACCGCCGGTACTATCCGCCCTTACCGGCACCGTCCATGGCATTGGGCAAGTATTCGGCCAAATGCATAGCAGAATATTTTGATGTTGTTGTTGTTGACTCACGCCGTCCATGGCATCCGACAAGTATTCGGCCAAATGCCGTAGCAGAATATTTTGATGTTATTGTTGACTTAGAAGGAAACATGATTACTCACTCAGTGGAGAAGGATGAATTGTTTTGTGAGGCATGATTAGCAACAAGTGTGGGCTTCAAGTAGGGATGAAAACGGAGCGAAAACAGACGGAACTGGGTGCTATCACATTTTTTTACCTTTTTGCAGAAGCGAAAACAAATACAAAACCCCAGAAATGAATACGAAAACAGATACTAGTAAAAACAGACACAGAGCAAATACAGAGTGCACACGGCAACAAAACTGTGTGTTGACCGGAACTTAAAACCCCCTTTGAATCATAGAGAAATACACACACAAAATTTAAGGAAGCATTAACATGACTACAAAATAATATGGTTGTGTTATCAACATAGGATAGTAGTACATGACAATTTCGTATAGGGTCTAGTTGAGTACGTGTGTGGTAATAAAAGTTGGTGCTTAAATGATTCATCGCTCATTCTGCTCATTATGTCATTGTGTGTTGTTTGGTAGTTGGGCTACAAAGCAGCCATGGGCCTATAGTAGAAACGGAAATTCTATATTCACGAAAACGGAAAGTTCCATTTCCACGTGTGTTCCATCAGAGAACATTGTTGTTTTTGTTTCCATTTCCACATAAAAAATTCTATTTCTGTTTTCGTTTTGCAAATTTCCGTTTCCGTTTTGCATATTTCCTTCCCGTTTCATTTTCCTCCGGAAAAGCTGAAACGTTTCACTCCATTTTCATCCCTAGCTTCAAGGCATAATGCGACATTTTGGCAAAGTGTACATGTTTGGTTCAATGAGCACATGTTAGGTTGCTGGGCCATTGGGCGTTGCCAGTGACTTAGTCCTACCTCAATTACGGGAGGAGGTTAGGACAACCTTATAAGAGAGAGTGCGACACTCCCTTCATGCTAGTCTTTTGTGATGCGGTGGGCTCTCCACTTGTAGCGATGTGTCCGGTGCGCACCAGAAACGTCCGAACGTGGACCGAAGGTTGGGAGCTAGGCCTGGGACGCTAACGACCCAGGCACTACATGTATTGCGGTGTGTATGGGTAAGTGCGAATAAGATAGCCAATGGACGCGTCACTTAAGGAGCTCGTAAGTTTTGCTTCTTGCTACTTCATGGATTGGTCATTTCATTGATTTGTTCAATATTGCAACTTGTTGATCACACCGCCATTATCTAATCCGAACGCGTGTGCACATTGTACCAAACGATGGAGTGCGGGCCCTTTACAATAATGCATTGTTTGATGAAACTCAATATGAAGAAGTTGATCAAGCTCAAGGATAGGAAGCTTGAGATGAACGCTGCTTTGGGATGATGAATTTTAAATACTTATTGATCTTTCGAGGAGTGCTTTTCAATTTAAATGTGTTTTTTTAGAAAACGTTGGCTCTTTATTAATCAAGCAACGTAGTTACATAGAGTCTCCCGGATACAAACCGGAGCAGAATGAAAAACACAAAGACCATCATAGTTCATACAAGACTTAGCTAAAACATTAGACTGCCGATGAATATGCTTGAACAACACAGAAGAGAAGCTCGACGCGCCATATTTGATGTCCGACACCACTAAGCCCACCAGTGAACGATCGCGGACAGGAGAATTGACCCTCTGCACCAGGGAAAGGCAATCGGAGGCGAAGATTACCGAGTCGCATCCTTCCTCTCGTGCAAGATAAACAGCTCGGCAAAGAGCCAAGGCCTCGGCCAATTCAGGAACATGCCTTCCATTGGTAGCTTCTCGGCAGGCAAAAACACATTGACGATTAGAATTTAGAGCGACCACCCCTGCACCAACCTTCCCTAGCTCAGAGAAGATCGCAGCATCAGACATGAATAAAAGGAAACCTGGTGGCGGCAGAGACCAAGCAGTGCTTAAAGCAATGCTCTCACGCCTATGCGCAGGGTCTGGTTTGTATAGATGTAAAACGATCAGATAAACATCAGATTTACTCTTGAAAGCAGTACGAACAGGGTGCAGCTCATCTTCATTGTTTCGTACAGAATTCCACGCCTCCCAAATATGCCAAATAGTCACAACCATGACTATAGCCATTAAGTCGGAAGAACGTGAGAGGAAATCGAAGAGCCACTGTCTTGGCCAAGAAAAATTAGACCGCCATAACTTGATGTCAAAAGATTGCTTCACCTGCGACCAGACCTCATAAGCAAAAGGACAGAACAACGAGTGCTCAATACCTTCCATTTTGCCACAAAAACAGCACAAGTCAGACGTCGACACATGACAACGATGGAGTTGGACACCGGATGGGAGGCAGTCGTGAGCAAGTCTCCATAGAACCACTTTCATCTTGTTAGGGGCTTTGATAGACCAAATGGATTTTCAGTTCTTCTTAGCAGCCCATCATCAGATGTCATTTCACGCCCAGTGACACCATGCACCTTTTGGAACCGAGCAGTTCGAGCCAAATTACAAGCCGAGCGAACTGAGTACTCACCAAATTTTTGTTTAAGGCCATCTCACATAATCTTCGTCGCCATGTCGGCCAACTGGAAGCAACAAAATCTCATTGGCAATCTCGTCCTGGAAGAAAGCTCGACCGTTTCCTTGCACTAGGAACGTTGATACTCATCCAAAAGACACTTGACCTTAGCAGTAGACGGTATTGGAGACACAATTTGCAGCAAGTCTGGCGGCGTGGACGCTATCCAGTGATCACCCGTTATTCGAACAGCGGCTCCATTGCCAATGCCCCATTGCGCCCCCTGTTGCAGCAGCTCCCGACCGAACAAGATGCTTCGCCATGTGTAGGAGGTGACCTAAAGAGGATGTTTGATTTAGTCTTATTCAAAAAATAACGTGGCAAAGGGGCGGACATTTGATGAGTGGTTGTGGTTGGGTAGACTTCGCCCTGTTTGTGGATAAGTCCAAACGTGTCCTCCGACATTTGATGGGGTACGTTTTGGTGAGTCGGCTAAGACTCGTAGCACGTCGGCAAATGATGTCTTCACCACTCGTCAATGTTTCTGTGGTTGGATGGTTACAGGGACTGTGGTATCCTCAGTCCATCAGGGTTTAAATCCTGATGCTTGTATTTATTTTTGGATTTATTTCAGGATTTTCCGGCGATGCACATTTAATGGGAGGAGACGTTTCCGTCGACGACGAGGTGCCTACGGTGACTTCGTAAATTTCAAAATGATATGCCGGCTCAGTCATTCGGAGATGCTCACAGGGTAGGCTGTGCGTGTGTGTATCTGCGTGTATATGAAGCTTGCGTCTGAGTTAAAAAAAACCGTGCGTGCAAATTGCTGGAGACTCCTTCGCTCTCTGCGCTGTACCGCTCGCGCGAATACGACCGAGAGGCTCGTGCCGCCCCCTTATCTTCCCCAACCGACGCCCGTCGCCCCGCACGGCCCAGCAGCACGAGCATGGCGTTGCACTGCGCTGCCGCCGCCAGCGTCTCGCCGTCCACCGGCCCGTGCCCCCTGCCTCGGCAGCACCACCGCCAGCGCGCGCTCTGGCGCTCCCCGTTCCAGCCGCAGCGGCCACACAGCCTAGCTTCTGCCCAAGGCCCTGCCCGGTTGGCGTGCGGCGCCAGGAGGCGGGTGAGGCACGAGGAAGAGGAGGAGGACGAGGAGGAGTACGGGCACAACGAGGAGATGGCGCGGCTGGAGGCCTACAGCGAGGGGGCGCGCGACCTGGCCCTCCTCGTCACGGCCGCCGTCGACGGCGACCTCGAGTCCGTGCTCGTCTTCAAGGTACCTTTTGAGCTTTGACGACGCTTCTCCTCGTGGTGCATTTGGTTACGGATATGCCTTGCTGTGCGTTGTGGCAGGGCTTCTCGTCGAGCCTGAGCGGGAGGACGGCGCCGGACCCGGCCATGAGCGTGCTCCCGGAGCGGGCCGTCATACAGTCCGTCGACGTGGTGAAGGGCCCGTTCGACCCCAACAACATCGAGTACCTCGAGAAGGATCTGCCATGGGAAGAATTCAAGAGCCGCCTCCAATAGCTAAACAATGTAATGACAGAATTGTGGACAGATTTGTAACTCTTCTGCTGTTCGTGACCAATCGGTTTAATTGGGGATCAAGGCGTGAAACAACCATACAAGAGCAATTGCAGACAGATTGTGACTCCTCTGTAAGTCACCAATCGGTTCATCTGGGGGTCAAGGCATGAAACGACCATATGAGTTTGAGGATCGTGAGGACTGAGGAAGGCGCCACTTGAACAAAGAATACATCATCTGAATTAATATCGATATACGAATCATACAGGAGGCCAAAGGATGGCCAAAGAAGCAACGGTGTCTGTCCGTGTTTCGGTAGCCACAAAACAACACTCGGCAAGAAAGCCCGTGTACAAAGCATATGCAAAACGAATGGAGCATCTCTACTACACACGTTCTATCTGTTCCAGCCGCGACGCTTGATAAGATCAGATCATTTCCATGCAACCGAGTCGATCTCGTTCCTCGCGGACTTGTACAGCTCCAGCTTCTTCACGAGGGAATCCCTCTTCTCCATCAACGCGGGATCCTCGTCCAGCATCGCGCTCAGCTGTTTCTTCTGTGTTGCGGAAGCAAAAACAAACGGAGAGCAAGGAGAGATGCTTTAGTACAATGCCCAGGAGGTTGCTATAATACTACTTGTGCAAATGCAAATCAACACAAGGTTAAAAAATACACAAGACTAAAGTCTGGTGAAAATTTTCAATTTACCCACTGACTGGCGCGTGGGTAAATTGAAGTGGAAGATCAAATGCATCTCTGCATTTATGTGCGAAAAATAGTAGATTCAGTAAGTAGTTGGCAAAAACATACCTCTTTGCTTCCTACATGCGCATAGAAACGGTTGAGCAAGTTTCTTTTTGCCTCCTTCACCTGACAATGCACAACGGCTTTCGGAATTGTGTTCCTCAATGTATCGCAAACCATGTTGATGTAAGATGATACATTCGATCCTGAAATAAAGGGACGGCATCATTAATACTGGTATATTGTAAACTGTTGTCGACTCTGTTAAGGTGTTGGTAGGATCAAGTACTCTACCAGGTCTAGGGCGTAGGTGGTAAGGGAAGGATGGAGGGAGACGTGGCGAGGATCGGGCGCGCCGACGGCAGGCACCGTCGCGGCTAGGAGAGGGGCGGCGGCTAGGGCTGTTGGCGGCTAGGGTTCCGGCTCCTCAGGGAGCCGGGCAATAGGAAATAATATTCTTCTTATTGCTTGCCTTCAACAAGAGTCTTATAACCTATATTTATATCCTAGATAACTTGTAGAAGAATCAACCTAAGATAACTTGCCTAAGATAACTTGCCTAATCTAAAAATAAAAACTAAGATAACTTGCGGGCCTAAGCCGGCCGGCCATAACACTTCTCCCCGCCTGCACAAACAGCTCGTCCTCGAGCTGCAAGGTGGGGAAGCGCTTGCTTGAACTCTTCGAGGTAATCAACCAGCGTCAAACACCTTCTTGACATCTGGGGCGGCCAGGTCAGCGGCGACGACGTCCTCCGGAATGTAGTCTGCCACCTCCAGGTAGAAGAGTCGCGGGCAGGCGTGGCCGGGCTTGTAGGGTTCGTCGCAGTTGAAGCACAACCCTTGGCGGCGACGCTCGAGTATCTCAGCTGGGGTGAGCCGGCGGAACGGGCGCCCCGCGGTCGCGGCAAGGGGTGCCGCAGAAGCCTGCACAGGCTGACCCTGCGCGGAATCCGGTCCGGGTAGCGACCCAGTAGTCTGGGACGGTGATTCCTGCTGGATGGCCACCGCGCGGCACTCGAACGCGCGGGCGTAATACATGGCCGACTGGAGATCCTGGGGTCCCCGAAGCTCCACGTCCATGCGGATATGGTCCGGTAGACCGCCCACAAATAACTCGGCGCGCTGAGTGGCGGAGACGCCCGGTGCGTGGCACGCCAGGGCCTGGAAGCGGTCGGCGTAGTCCTGCACCGTGGATGTGAAAGGTAAGCGGCCGAGGGCCGCCAGTCGGCTCCCGCAGATAGGAGGCCCGAACCGGAGGAGACAGAGCTCCCGGAAGCGCTCCCATGGTGGCATGCCGCCCTCGTCCTGCTCGAGGGCGTAGTACCAGGTCTGCGCTGCGCCTCGAAGATGATAGGACGCGAGCCAGGTGCGATCCGAAGCGAACGCTCGCTGCCCTCGAAAGAACTGCTCGCACTGGTTGAGCCAGTTGAGGGGGTCCTCCGTGCCCTCGTAGGTGGCGAAGTCCAGTTTGGCGAAGCGAGGGGGTGTCGGCCCGCCGTGCCCGGGGGCGGCCGTAGTTGCCGCCGGCGCGTATGCCGGGTCGGGAAGCGCCGGGGCGTAGTTCACCGAGCTGGAGGGGTGATCAAACCGCAGGGAGGGCGTCGGGTGTTCCGGCGCCATGGAGTAGACAGGCCCCGAAGACGAGCCGGTCGCCCAAGCGGGGATCGGCGATGGTGACGGTGGAAACTGCACCTGGTGCAGGGGCCGACCCGTAGCCCTAGGCGCGGGTGGTGGTACTGTCGATGGCGGCGGCGCCTGGTGGAGTTGCACCGACGCCTGCGGCGTGGGGGCCGGCGGTGACGCCGGAAGAAGCTGCTGGGTCTGGCCCTGCTCCGAGGCGCCGGTGCCCAGGTTAGGGCTGGGCGGGGCCGGTGGAGGACCCTGCTCCGAGGCCGCTAGAAGGTAGGGCGCGACGGAGGACGGCGCGGCCGGCGCGGTCCAGGTGGGCCACTGCGGCCCCGTGGTGGCGAGAAGTGGCGGGGCTGCCGGCGCGATCTGCGGCGGCCACTGCGCCCAAGGCGGCGGTGCGGCCGCTGGGGCGGGGAGCGCCGGGTAGCCTCCGGTGACGGCCCCCGGTGCCGAGTACCACGGAAGCGCCTGCTGAC